CCCAGAGAAGCTGTGGATGCCCCATCCCTGGAAGTGTTCAAGGCCAGGCTGGATGAGGCTTTGAGCAACCTGGTCTAGTGGAAGGTGTCCCTGCCCATGGCAGGGGGGTTGGAACTGGATGGGCTGTGAGGGCCCTTCCCACCCAAACCATTCTGTGATTCTGTGGTTCTATTTTAGGAAAATTGATTGAGGTTTTAATTCCTATGAAGGACTGTTGCAGCCCTTAACAAGGGGACCAAGGATTGCTGTCAGTCAGGATTCACTTGCAGCAGCAGAAGCTAAAACAACCTTTCCGCTCGCAATTCCGAACACAGATCTAAATGTATTGAATAATATTTTTTTAGGTTAGCTTCCTAGTTGCTATGTGATGATCTGTTGAATGTAGTGATGTTACTTGCTAGTCAGAGGCATGATAGAAAATGATCTTGGTGTACGTGAGGTATTGGCTCATTTCGTATCAATACTACTTAATTCTTATTCCCCTTTATGCCCTGATTCAGACCAAACTAGGATGTCTTCATGTGTACCTGGGTAAACTAGCTGTAATTTTGCAGTTGTCATGTAGGAGAAACTCTAATTACCTTTGCCATAACAAAATGCGTTTTTTTTCCAGCAGGGATGCAGCAGTGTGTACTTAACTCTGCTTGTTGCATTTTTCTCCTTATGTTATTTCAAGAATGTAGCCATCCTCCTGATTCTTTGCTCCCAAAAGAACTGGAAGATTAATTCTTACAGAGCTCAAAGTCACAAGTTAGTATTGTAAATATGATTCTTCCTTCGTCCTCTGACTATACCTCCTCATGCCTCTTTAATTGGACAGAAGTGTAAAGGCAAGAAAAACGGTGGAAAGAACTTCAAAAGCTGTTGCAATGTTGAAGTGAGTTAATTTAAAAACAACAACAAAAAGCAACCAATAACTGCCTCCTCACAACACACTGACGTGAAGTTTGCTAAGATGCTTTTGGCATGGAACTGCTATATAAAATCCAAACCAAAAGTTTCACGAGTAGAATGCGTGATAAAGCTAGCAGCTATTCTGAAATGCTGAAGCTGACTCTGAATCTAAAGCCATGTGTGACAGTACCTATGTTGCATATGCCTGATGTGCTGTTCAGTTTTATAGCTGTCTCAGCTATTTGATGTAAATTAGCACTTAGTTTCTAGTAATTTGAGCCTTTAAAATAATTAGAATTACTCTGCCTTAGCATAATTAGCATTTCACTGTAAGAAAGCTTTCTGGAGCGATTTTAGTACCTCTTTAGCTCTTTGAAAACTTCAAAAGTTGTCCTGGTAGGTAGATACTGTGTAAGGCAGCAGGATTATTGGTTTCATAATGTTCTTGAACGTTCCCATGCTTTAGAATTATCAAAGTCTTGACGTTTCAGAAGTGCCTTAATTGATGTGTAATGACTCTTCCTAATCCACTCGTGCTTTTGCGTAATATAATTTAGATCACTGACAAGATTTAAAAATGAAATTATATTATCCAATGCCAGCTAAACAAAACCAGGGGATTTTAATGCAAAGAAATTTATCCTTTTTTTTTTTTAAATTAGCAAAATGAGTTCTTAATCTTTTTAAGCTACAGCTGTTACACTTGTTAAGCTGTAGTTCTTTGTTTCTGAAATGCATCCTGCCTCATTAAGTTGTGTTGAAGCACCTTGATTACATTACTGGCGTACTGATCTTTTGACCTGGGCCACTTTTGGTTTTCTATCTGAAAAGTTTATTAAAATCGTTAAAACTAGTGCAAAAATGTTGTGGTGTGGGGGGCGTTTGTGGGACTTTTTTTTGTTTGGTTGGGGTGTGGGTGTTGGTTTGTTTGGTTTTTTTTCCTTTTTTCTTTTTTCTTGTTGGCAAAGGGATGCTTCAGTGATGTATAATGAGAATGATTTACACATAAAATGGGAATTTCGTATCAGATAGGAAATGTTTGCAAGGTATTTTGCTGCCCTCTCTTGGTAGAGCATTTGTATGGTGAGCAAAGTGATCAACTTCTTCGTAGTATTTATTTGTACATTTAAAAAAAAAATCTGCATTTTATTCCTTTATTTCCTGAAGAAATAGAAAATGAGGATTCTTTTACAAAAATAAAACTTTAAATACTGATTTACTCAAATATTTATTTGTGAGAACTTTTTCATTTAGGTCGAGGCCTTGTGAAAGCAGGATGGTGGTATTTTCTGCTCTGTAATCTTTTCTTAATGCGTAACACCTGGTGTATGTTTTTGAATGGAACACATCAATGAATGGATGTTGTCATAGAACTGTTTGTCCTTACCCTAATATGTCACTCAGTAGTCCAGCATTTTGTACATGAATTCAGCAGAATTCCCCTCTCTCCCCTGCATCACTTCAATTGTTTCCTAGCTGAGTTTTACTTGCTAATTTTATTGCCCAGTTACTTGGAACTAGAAGATCCATCAGTCAGTCATCATCCTTGCTATCTTAAATAACTTTAAGGTGCGCAGTCAAGAGGACCTTACTGTTTCTTTTCCAGGCTGATTATGAAAATACAACTTATCTGACTTATTTGGAAAATATGACTTATTTGACTCGCTCTGGGTTATTGCAGAACTGCCTCCATGACACTCTTCCGTGAGGTGACCCATGTTGAGACTGTATTTCTGTAAAGAAATGAAGAACTTAAGAACAAGAAAATTTAAATATCTGGCAGCTACTTGATGTGTTGTTAAACCCAGCGAATTGATACCTTCTAGGTTCATAAACTAAATATAACATGAAATGTTTATACCCTTAAGTGCCTTACCTACGTTTTTGTTTTAGGATTAACGGTGTGTACGTTTCTAGGTAGAATATCCTAGTTTCTTGCAAATGAATGAAAAAGCATGAACAAAATAAATGCTCCTTTGGAGTCTGTACATGTTGACTCCTGCTCTTGAATAGCCTCTTAGCTACAAACATTTGTGCATCCACCTCTCCTCCTTTACAAAAAAAGGGCTAAGATGACCAAGCTGAAGTTATCCATGATGAAAACCCTGCTTTCCTCTAATAATACATTTTATCTGAGGAGAAAAGAGCACATAATAAAACTGGTTTTCTACAATGCAGAGCAAGCAAAAATGTAGTGCCAGGAATATTTTTAATATCCTTTTCGGAGCATAAATTTTTGTGGTTTATATTGTATTCTCTTGATTCTTTGTATAAATCCTCTGCTGGTTCCAAATATGTATCAGTCAATTACCAGACTTTTTGGTGAACTTCAGGGGCTAAACATCAAGCATTTAACAAGCTGAGTTGCAGCCCTAATTTCTTAATGACTGCTATTAGAACTTTTTTATATGGGAGAGCAGGAGCTGATGGAAGAACTGATACAGGAGCAGAACTGTTTTGCTGCTTCTGAGGATGTTGGGTAAAAAGTTCAGTAGGAAAAAATCCTTTTGCTGTACGTAACTGGAACTTAATTGCTTGTAGCAATTATGAACCTTCAGTATTTTACAGGATTTTTGTTTGCTTGTTTTAAAGGAAAAACATTGTTCTTAAAGAGGAGGATGGACTTCAGTAGTAACAGTGTATGAGCTGGAGTTTCCTGTTCTGAGCACAAATAGGAATGAAATAACTGAAGTTATTCAGAATTCAGTTTTACATGGCTCTAAGCATACAGTGTAGAATCACTAATGACCGTTTCAAATAAGATTGCAGTAATAAGTTTCAGTGAGATTGCCCAGTGCCAGTCTGTAGAAGACACATACTGAGTAGCTAAAGGTGTCAAAACTTAAATGTCCTTTTTGCTTTCTAGTTAACAGCTGCCTGTGCTTTGTAATTGGTGACACGCTATCTTCAGTTTGCATCTGAAGCATGGCAGAAAAAAACGGCTGTGCGCTTTATATACAGGTTTTTATTTTTAAATGTCACCGTCTTTTTTGAAGGTGGGAATTCAAACAGGATGATAACGTAATATTTTCAGTGATGTGTGCTGATAGGTACATACTGGCTACAGCTTTGACGAGGATGCGCCTGACTTTTTTTGGTTTAGTAGTGAGTTCCCCCAAGAGATGAGAAAGCTTTGAAAATCAAAAAGCTGTATTTTAGCCAGTTAGAAGTATGTATCTTAGTTTTCTTTTTAAATTTATATTAAAATAACTAAGGAAAATCTAAAACAAGTTGAGGAAAAAAACCGAAAGGGTTGTTGACAGCTTTCTCAATCTTTTTGCAGGAAAGTCCATCCTTTCAGCCAGCCTAGTGGCTTTGGCAGCAAATTCTGCATGATTCCTTCTTTACCCTTAAGAAATTCTTTACATTTCTTCTGCCTGGCTTTTACTTGTTTTTCACCTCTCCATGTCTTCCCCCTCTGCTTTCCTTCTCAAGGACTCCTATGGGCTGGAGACCTTGGCAGCTCCTGGCAGTGTTTCCCTGGCTCCTGCACCCTGGATTATTTTCTGACTGTGTTCAGTTTTCCCATGCCTTGCCTTCAGGGTGTTCTCATCTTGATGCCATTTAAATGTAGTAGTATTCAGGGAGAGGGGGGCACGTATGCGTTTGGATGCCTCTGTAACATTTGGATACATATGAGCTCACTGGTTTATCTTAAAGTAATTTGTTTGGGGCTGGGGTTTTTTTTTGAGTGTTTGTGTACTGCCATTTCACTGTACGTTTATTCACTGTTTTGAGTATAAAATACGGTGCAAAAGAAACAATGTAACTCCGTATCCCAAACTGGGAAGACTGCATCAGTTAGTAAATCATCAGCAACAGCTTTCTATTCTTAACCTTAAAAAGCTGTCTTTCAGAATGTTGTATTAGTTAAGAGGAAATCGGATAAATTATTCTTTTCACTTGTAAACATAATGAAACTATTACCCAGCTCAGAGAAATAACCTGTAGAATTAAGAATTGTATGTAGGTGCAGATGCTGTGCTTTTGTTCCTGCTGGTGCAAAGATTGTTCATTGGTTTCTCTCTTCTTGTCCTCTAACGGTTGCTTGATATTTCTGGTTTTTGCTTTGCAGCTTAGTCTTTTTCTTTTTTTCATGATTGTAGACAGTTGCAAGAGCAGCAGAGGCAGAAGGAGCTGGAACGGGAGAGGCTGGATCGTGAACGAATGGAACGGGAGAGGCTGGAGAGAGAGAGGCTAGAAAGGGAAAGACTTGAAAGAGAGCGCCTAGAACAGGAGCAACTGGAGAGAGAACGGCAAGAAAGGGAACGGCAAGAACGCCTAGAAAGGGAGAGACAAGAGAAGGAGAGGCAGGATCGGGAAAGACTTGAACGACTTGAACGGGAAAGGCAAGAAAGAGAACGGCAAGAACAGTTGGAAAGGGAACAATTGGAATGGGAAAGAGAGAGAAGAATTTCAAATGCTGGTAAGAATTTCACAACAGTGTATTCAAGTACGTGACTACTCTGTGTTTGAGTGGGAGATAACCAACAAAGGGCAGTGAGTACGCTTGTGCAACAGCAGTCAGTATTTCAGGCTTCTATTTGCTGGAATCGCTTCCACTTCTATGGCAGGAAGTCCAGGATCTTTGACTTTCCTGTCATAATTTTTCATTAACTCTGGAATAATTGGGTTTTGCACTATTTGCTCACTCCATTGCTGTACTCTCTGATCGCTCGAAGAACTTGAATTGTGTTGGGCACCTCTAACATGATTAAAGTATGAGGAGTTAAAATTTCTAAATACCGTACTGTAGTTTGCTTTGTTAAACGTGACATATTCTCATTCCATAATTTGGGGAAAAAACTCAAACCAAACCTATCAGGTTAAGTGTGTTAATGTAGAAGATATGTGCCTACATAAGGCAAAGGAATCGTGGGAATACTGAAATGCCTTTCAGGATGAAGTCTTGCTTAATTTATCCTTGTAGTAACATTTCACTGAAATGTGTCATATGTATTTGTAGATAAGATAATGCACTGCCTGCGGAATTGTATCCAGAGATAACTGAAAACTTTCTCATTTGGGTAATATCATGGAACCTTTGTCAAGCACTTGGTTGTTCTTTAGTAACAAATTCAGTTTACGTACAAAGTCAGCTCATGGTAAAAGTTGAGGAATACTGTGTAAGAGCTAGTCACTTCAGAACAGAGAGTTTAATTGGTGGGTTTATTCCTGGTGCTTTCAAGTTTGCAATGGAGCTTTTTCTGGAGAAGAAAGATGATACTTGCTGCATACGGTGTGAGTTTTGTTAGTGGAGTTGTAACAAATGTTAAGATCACTACACTTGCTTGCAGTTTGCAACCAAATAAGAAGATAAAAGCTGACAAAAGACTGATTAATCAACCCTGTTTCTAATCCATCTCACAGATGGGATTTGAGAAAACTTGCTCTAGAACGTAACTGTAAATTCAAATGTTGGCACAAAGATAGTTGGTATAATTTAAAAGCAGCTGTGGATAATATGTAAAACTTTCCTAACAGTTTTTTCACTTGTGCCTAATCCTCTGGTACTAACTGTAGTCTACATTTATACATTTTGTTTGAATGCTGGTTTTGTTGCTTCATTAGCTCCCTTTTTCTCTTTCTCCTTTTTTTATCCTGCCTTTGCTGCTGCTTTCCATCTTCTGTCCAGCTCCATCTTTCGACAACTCCCCGTATAGCACTCCACTTCCTGAATACTCCAGTTGCCAGCCTCCTTCAGCACCTCCTCCATCATATGCAAAAGCAGTCTCAGCACCAATGTCGGAGGCCACACCGGAGTACGCTGTAGTGACTTCTGCACCACCGACTTCCACTCCCCCTCCCCCTCCCCCGCCTCTAAGGCACTCTGCATCACGTTTTGCTACATCTTTAGGCTCAGCTTTCCACCCCGTTCTCCCCCATTATGCTACGGTTCCTCGTCCGCTGAACAAAAGTTCTCGGCCCCCTTCTCCTGTCAATGCTCCGGCGACTTTGCCTCCAAATACAAAGCCTGTTGCCTGGTCTGCGCCCAGTTTTGCCCCCCTTCCCCCATCTCCTCCAGTAATGATAAGCAGTCCACCAGGCAAAGCTACTGGTCCGAGACCCGTCCTCCCAGTGTCGGCTTCTAATCCAGCGACCCAAATGTCCACGTCTCCCACAGCTCCTAACGGGCTTCCTGAAAACATGGCTTATCCGGTTCCTTCACCTTCTACCTCAGGTCCAACTCCGCCTCCGCCACCTCCTCCCCCGCCACTGCCTTCCTTTCCGCCTCTGTCACTCTCTGGACCTCAAGCTTCTCCTTCTCCCAACTCCCCGAATGCCTCGACTCCCTCATCCAAGCCTAGTGTTCTCCCTTCTCCCTCTGCAGCTACCCCTGCCTCTGTTGAGAACTCTCTAAACTCTGTGCTGGGAGACTCCTCTGCTTCTGAGCCAGTCTTGCAGGCAGCCTCTCAGCCGGTTGAACCTACGACCCAGCAGGGTAAGGCTTTCTGT